ATTTCAGAAACCAAAAAGCTATACAACCTTCATGTGCGCTCAGAAATAGGAGCGATCCATTAGAGTGTTGAGCGAGAAATTGCGGTACATGCCGCAACGTTGAAGTTCATTGGAGAATTTCTGGGAGAGTGGAAAGTAACGCGTAGGTATTGTGTAGGCATTGGGTGCGTAGTAACCATACTCTGAATTGCAAGTGCGATACATGGTGTTCTTGTCTGTCTCAACGCCATAGCCTTTAAAGTTGTCTGAAAGAAGAAAAAAGCATTGTTTAGAAAATTGAACACATAGAATATTACAATTTCCAGACGTACAAGGGCACTTGATCTTCTCACGCGTGTGCAGCTGCTCATACAACTTAGCCGTTTGTATGATGGGTTTACGTTTCAAAAATTTTTGGTATTCTTTTTCTGGATTAAAAGTATCCAAATCGTCACAGTAGTGTTCACACATTTCTGCATAAAATCAAAGTTTGCGCGGTACTTTAATTACTTTGTATTTAATGCAACAATTTGTGACCTAAAAAAAATGGAGGAAATACGCGCTTAAAAAAGTGTACACAATTATTTGCCAAAAGTCAGAATTTGTATTCTCATGCGCGTTTTGTAGAAAGCTTTCAAATGGAATTTGATTGACATAACAAACGTTTGTTGCTGCAGCAACAAAATGGAATAAGTTCGAAAAGTTTGGAAGCATACTGGCAATTAAGCCTTAACATTCCTGTTGCGCGATAAGCAAGTGTCACATTGGTAACGATGCAACAGCTGTCCCCCATTGGCTGTCACAAAGCAACAACCCTTCCTGTTGTGGGTGTAATTAGCGTTTCAGAACTGTCAAACAGATTTGCGTGACATGCGCACTGCCGCCCGTTCATTGCGCTGTGAATGCTTTATTGATTTTAGTGGCAGCGAAAAACACGGCTGCAGATTTTCACTGCAGTGAGAATAAAAAGTACTCGACCTCAATAAATAGTTTTATAAACGAAGAAATATTGTAAAATTTCAACGAAAGTTAACAAGCTGCGCTTAAGATTGTGTAAAAATGTGTAAAATGTTGAATTTTGTAAATTTTATAATATGTATTGCCACATTCAGTCAAACCATGGATCCTTGTTTGACCATTAAACGTGGACCGCATCATCCACGTAGTGAACCATCAAGAACACGTAAAGTAGATCAGCATTTGACGCACGAAGAACAGTGAGTTGTGGACCAAAGAAGAGTTGTACTTAAGAACTACTTTATAAATATATATGTAAATACCTTACTTCCAGCCACATTGATGATGACCTAAAGGATATGGGCATAAATGTGAATTTGGAAGATATGTCTGATGAGGAAAAGAATTTTTACTATTTCAAGGTACATACATACATACATATGAGTTTAAGTGAATCGAGCCTTCTCACGCGCGTTTGTATGCGTATAATAACAAATAATACCAAGAGGCATGCAGCATCCCAGCAAACATTTGGAGTCATAAATGAGTCTTTGAGGAGTCCTATTTCGGAGCAATTACGCTCATAATGAGCTCATTTAAGAGTCCGATATGAGTGTGTTTCCCTTCCTACGAATGTCGACTTATATGAGCTTAAATTCATACATCAAATGAGCCTCAATATGAGTCATATTGGACTCTTATTGGCCTCATATACGGCTCATTTTGGACTCTTTTAAAACAAGTTTTGGCCTCATACATGACTCTTTTTGAGACCCTTATCGGCCTCATAAATTGCTACATTCGGACTCTTATTTTAGGTTGCTCTTTGAGTCTTATTCAACTCACTATATTTGCAAAGGCATTCCGCAAAAAGTCCTTGCAAATAACATACATACATACTTACATGCATATACACATTCCAACATGCATTCAATAGCAGCAGCTGAAGCTAAATTTTGTTCATTTTTTGTTTTCTAATTATTTTCAATTTCTGTATAAACAGTTTAGATATAAATTTCAAATCTTTATTGTGTTTATATTGGCACAAGGTGCTGGCTCATAACTTGGCTCATATATGAATCCTAAAAGATTCATATAAGAGTAAAAAATTTTTTGTTTTTGAAACTCATATTTCTTACCTACCTAGGACACCTTTCGGACTCATATATTCTGAACGCTCAGAACATGTTTGCGGGGATAATATGCCTGAGTTTACTTCTGCAATGGCGAATGAGTAGAGTCAATATAGCACTTAAGGTGGACAAATTTCCAAACAGGATAAAAAAGGTAGTCCGCTGTTCAGAAAGATATTTTAGTCAAAACAAGAAAATGCTGCATCTGCCAATTTGACTGGAAATATTTTTAATTAATTAAGATCTATTGGCAATTACCGAATCGCAGCTACTAGCACTGGCGCACAAATGGAAAAATGTAGAAATATGCAGGATGCGGTCGTAATTTATTGAAACGTCACTACTGCAAGCACTAATTGACGGTGATTTCAAAAAATAAATCGGACTTTTTTTACCGGGTTTTTGATACCGGTTACCAATTTTTAGAAAAGCAAAATGATTACGCCCTTTTATATTATTATGGGTTTTTCAAAATTGAAGTCGCTTTTTTTGTACCGGTTACCAATTTCAATAATTTAACGAATCTCTTCATAACATTGGTAAACGTATTGCTCATAGTATTACATACTAAGAAAAGTGTTGGAAAATTTTGAAATCGGTTAATAACCACGCCCACTTTCTATATATTACAGTATTTAAAAAAATGAAAACTACGATATTTATTAGTTACTGAATTTATATAAATAACTACCGCGGGATCAGCCTTCTAAGCATAGGTTATAAGGTTTTATCGAGCGTATTGTGTGAAAGACTGAAGCCCACCGTCAATGAGCTGATTAGGCCTTATCAGTGTAGCTTTAGACCTGACAAATCCACCATAGACCGGGTGTTCACAATACGCCAAATCTTGGAAAAGACCTGCGAGAAAAGGATCGACACTCACCACCTATTTGTCGACTTTAAAGCCGCCTTTGAAAGCACTGAAAGGAGTTGCCAATACGCCGCTATGTCTGAATGTGGCATCTCTTCAAAACTCATACGGCTGTGTAAAATGACGTTGAGCAATACCACCAGCTGCGTCAGAATTGGGAAAGACCTCTCCGAGCCGTTTGCCACCAAAGGGGCTACTCCTTTTCATGTGACTTCTTTAATTTGACGCTGGAGAAGATAATAAGAGCTGCAGAACTGAACCGCTGAGGAACAATTTACTACAAGAGCGTGCAATTGCTGGCTTATGCCGATGACATCGACATCATCGGTAACAAAAACCGCGAAGTCTGTTCTGCCTTTTCCAAGTTGGATAGGGAAGCAAAGCGCATGGGTCTGGTGGTAAACGAGGACAAGACGAAGTATCTCCTGTCATCAAACAAACAGTCAGCACATTCGCGCCTTGGCACCCACGTCACTGTTGACAGTTACAATTTCGANATCAGAAGAGGAGAAGGACTTGGCTTCACTTGGCGTTTCCAATTGGCGTCAGGTGGCATAGAAGATAAACGACTGGCGTGCTTTGCTAAACTCGGCCAAAATCGCTTAGGCGGTTACAGCGGCAAAAAAGAAGAGAAGAAAAAAAATTGATATAAAGAAAATCTTTATGCAAAGTATATTTTTATTTAAATTTAAAAATGGGCAGAACCACTGCACTTTTTACGAAATTTGTAACCGGTACTAAAAATTCGGGTCGTCTCGTTACTAACAGGGCCCGAAAATAACAGTTATTTTTTCGACTTTCGACTACATTCTAACCGGGTTTAATATAGATGAGTGCAACGAAATCGTCGTCAAGCGAGACAAAGACGAAGCATAGCGTTACAAAATTGCAAAGAGAAACGATGAAGTCTGTAAACAAATCGTTGTTTGAGATAAAGAATGAGACTGTAAAAGTTCAAAAATATTTTTTTTTTTCTAACGACTTTTATCATAAAATTTATAAAAGTCCGAGTCCCTAATAGTAACCGGTACAAAAATAAACATTTCATTTTTGAAATAACCATAATAAAAGAAATGGGCGTGAACCGGTACTAAAAACCCGGAATTTTCAAAATTGGTAGTTGATATAATAATCCGATTTCTGCACAAGCACCTTATCAACTCTTGGCCATCGTACTTGAATAGCTCAATAACATTAACAAAATGTATGTAAAGTGCTAAAGTACGTTACCCCAATAGGACCACTACCCAGCTTACGGCTTGAACATATAATCCTTACTGTAGTCCAGGTCAGTAGTGCCGTAGAATAAGCATAGTTATTTTGAGAAGTTTCTTTATTGCAGAAAAACACACTTACCATTGTCTGCCAAAGGGCGACCGCTATTAGCGAAACACTTTTTCAGATATTGCTCGGGCTAGGGATTGAAACTTTGTGTTAGCGGGTGTAGTGCGCACCGCTAACCACCCGACAATGGTATACGACTTTCCAAAATTGGACGCTTTAAAGAAATCGTTTTGAATTGTTTATAAGTGCCCCCTTTCTTTACGTATAGTTACTATAAATGTTCATTATTTTACAGATTCATGACAGCGACAATAACAACGCCCTGGATGGGCTTGAGATGCTCCAAGCGGCTATACATCAGGATGAACACTTTAAAAAAGTGGATCGCGACAATTTCCTCCACAATGCCACCGAGGAATTGAATCATATCATTGGTAGATAAAATACAAGATAGAAATCGGAAATTTTAACATTAGAGCAGATTTTACCCATTCTAGAGGTTATTGATGAGTTCCTGCAAATTGCGGATGCTAATAAGGATGGCTTTCTGCATTATCCAGAGTATGTGAAGGCGGTCACTGGTGCACCAGAGGATCAATAGAAGTAAACTTGTGTGAGCAAAAAAAAAAATGCAAATAGTTATAGTAAATAAGAAAAAATATAAATCAAAAACGCCACGAGAGATAAATATCAGGTAGGGCTAGGAAAATTAGTTCAACGTTATAAATAAAAAAGTAAATTATTTAATGTTATGCCAAAAGAAGAGAGATAACAGAAAGATAATTTAGATATACATACATACATATATATGTACGTGTAAAGAATATTGCATGTATTATCAAGGAGTTTTTTAAATACATTCGCATATGCATACATATATACATACATACATACCTGTGTATGCGTGTATAATATAGTTATAATATTACCTTTTTTGTAATAACGAAGCAAAGCAACTTATTAAGACTGTAAATAACTACCACGCGATAATTTTTTTGAACAATGCTAGCATAATAACATAATAGTAAAATTAACAAATCAAAAAAATTGCTCATTTATTACTATGTAATTTACTATCGACTACAATACGATAATAATAAAATAATTTTAAAATTAATTGATGTAGTGTATGTATTTTATGTCATTCTGATTGGTAGGTAATTGCGTGTTGTTATGGACATTTTCTCACACGAGACTATCGCATTTCAATGATCGGTTGCAGGATGAACCGCGAAAACCATCGTAGGATGCCTTCTCGAGCAGCATTATCAGATCGTTGTAACGAGGATTATTAAAAGCATTGCTGAACATAAAAGAAGAAAACAATGTAAAAATATCGGTGCTAGATTCTACAAGTTTTAGAAAATATATATATATACATATATGTCTATTTTACAAGCCATCCACCCCGCCAACCATTTTTCTTGTGGGGGGAAAATGTTTTGAGCACATGAAAAAATTTGTATCATGAAGTGTAATTTTTGATGCCATCTGATATTTTGTGAAAAATTGTCTAACCTCAAAACAACTATCTATTGGGAACGCGTCGCCAAAAAAATGCAGGTATTGCGTCAAAAAAGGTAGAAAGAAAGAAAAATATTAAAATAAATTCGACCAAACCAATATTTGTCCGCCATCTTGAATTTAAAATCAGACATCGGATTCTAATCTTTTTCACAAAAGACCAGACGGCATCAACAACTACTCTTCATGACAAATTTTTTCATCTTCACAATAAATTTTTTCTTCCACAAGAATTCCCAATATGTATGGACACTGCCGGCAAAAGGTATTGGCACAACTGCTTTTTTTTACAAAATATGCAACAATTTTTATTCTAATATTTTCCCGCCAATTTAAAAAAAATATGATTAATTATTCAACAAAAAACATAAAAAACAAAATAATTTCTGAACTTTGTGGCAAACTCGTGAAAATTCAGCAAATTTTCATGCAAAATTTCAACAATTTTTCAAACTTTTTAGAATTTTCTTGAGCATGCAGTTTTGAAGCCCATTAAATTCTAGTATATAAAATGCTAGTTCGGAATTAGCCACAAATCGAATTGATTTTTGATAATTTTTCTCGTTGAAGGTGTTTTGCATTTTGTCCATACAAAGTATTTTCGCAAGTTTTTTTGGATAGAAGAGAATGCGTGAAAAAAATTTCCAAACATCAATGGTAATTCGTAGCTACTTAGAGCTTCTACTTTTATACAAAAAAATTGATTGGGCTACAAATCTTTATACACAAAAAAAATTCTAAAATATCTTATTAAAAAGATTAAAATTTGCATGAAAATCTGCTGATTTTCTCAAGTTTTGCACAAAGTTTAGAAATTATATATTTATATTTTTTGTTGTGGAATGAACAACATTTTTATAAAAAATTGTCCGAAAAATATTCCAATAAAAATTGTTACATATATTGTAAAAAAGCAGCTAAGCCAATAATTTTTGCCGGCAGTGTATATAAATATAGTATTTGAGTAGCTTGTCACAAAATACAATCGAAACCATGTATGTTAAATGTTCATAATCCTACTTACCCCTCATACTTTTCGATGCCGTCAATTAGAGCCTTCGCCGCTTTTGCATATTCATAAGCTACATTGGGGCTGGCGCACGCCGCTGCATATAGACAATCGTCCAGTCCTATTCCTTGAGCAGCTAGAAATCCAGTGATGAGATAATCCTCACCATCACTTAAGCCAAAATTGATGTTTTCTAAAAAATAAAAAATTTAATAAACCGCACATGCTTAAGACGTCTGTTGACTGACGGTCTAAAAGCAAGTCTGCAAAGGCAGACATGGTTTGCTTCACGAATAAGAGAAAAATTAGGAGGATTCCAGGTTACAATCACACTATCGGCCGAAGTTCGTATGTGGGTATCATTTTGGATAGGTGAATCACTTGAAATAAAGATCTAGGAAACTACAAAATATAATTTTATCGGAAAATTAAGCCGCTATTCGGCTTTCATGTATACCACAAGGGAGATTTGGGTTTCACGAGACACTGTTATACCATCTAATCATCAGACAGATGAGTTCAACAGGACTGGAACATGGCTTATAGCCTCAAAAATCTATGCTGCTTTCATACTGAAAACAGTGGCTAAAAACCTACTTTATCGAACTGGTAAACAGAAGGTGGACCGAAAACCAATATGTGGGCTAGCACGTCAAATCTGATCCAGACTCGATACGGACATGCTCAGCGCCCTTATTCTCGTGGAACACTCTCAACTCAGTCGGGTTGCTCGAATTTTTACTAGTGGCCGGTAGTACACGCAAGAAGAATCGGAATTCCAGCTGACGACTTTTGTCGAAACTGCCCAGGCTAAGAGAAAATCGAATGCGACGAACACTTGCTCTGCCAGTGATGAGGACGATATTATGTATTCCTTACAATATATACACCTCAATATTTTTTGGGGTGAAATATTATTTTTTAAATTCTTTATCAAAAAAAAGAAGACTCCTATTAATTTTATTTCGTCATGATATTCGAAAATCTCGAAAAAAAAATTCCCGCAATTTTGAACTTACGGAGAAGTATATACATATAAATAAAGCGAATACACTAAAATATTAATTTTTATGTCTTACCTTCTGAACTTCTCGAACGTCCATAACCATATCCATGAGCACCCCAATGGCCAGCGCCTAACATGCCAGCGGCAAATATTAGTATTTTTAGCAAAATGATTATAAGTAAATTAGTAAGGTTGAGACTGAGCACCTGCAATGAAGAAAATTATTTCCTATAAACTTTAGGGCGCTATTAAAGTAAAATTGGATATTTATTCACAGATTAGAGTATTTGAAAACGATTTTGAATTAATGAAATATATTAAAAAAAAAACTCACACAAACACCTTAAGCAAAGGTCGATCAGCTGGTTGCTTCGCCTTATATGTATTTTGTTTTTTCTTTTTTTGATTTGACAGCACACCCATCAAAAGCAAAAACAAAATACATACATATATACACTTTGGGGCGCTACCACTTTGTATAAATTCGCCTGGGATCAGCCTTATCACGAGCTTCATTTTCGCACGAAGTCGCTCTCTTAGTTTTCTGGCAAAACTGAGGATAACATTCCGCAGGGCCTGGGTTAAGCCCAAAATCAGAAAAAACGGTTTTCTCTAATAGCGGTCGCCAGTCGGTAGGCAAAGGCAAACTTCTGAGGGTATTTCTGTCATGAAAAATAGCTCCTCATAAAAATACAATCGTCGTTAGGAGTAGGTGTAGGTCCCTCCCCTTTGCGTGTCAACATCAAGCCGCACACCACAAATCGGAGGAAAAAGCTCGGCCAAACATTAACATATGTTTAAGTGTACGATGACCATATTAATCATCGTAAAATAAAGGACATTTTTTCAAAATGATTTGGGAATACTTACATACAACTTGTATGATAAAAGTACCTTGTCATATCGTAATTTAAATCAAATATTTATCAGTTAATTATAATTAAGTGGGGTACGAAACAAACTGGCGAAAGTTTTCATTATATTTTATAATGGACATTTTTATTTTTCATATTCTGCGTTTAAAAATTTACCTCTGAAAAATGCAGAGCCGATTTAAAGGACAGTTTAAGAAATAAAGGACAAACACGTCCTTTATTTTGAAAAAATTATAAAGGACAGGGGGTAAAAAAAAGGACTGTCCTTTAAAATAAAGGACCGATGATCACCGTATATACATAAGAGCCGATATATTATTATTGTTCTCGAAAAATTACGTGCATAGAATTTCGGAATGTCCCAACTTGATATCTTTCTAGAAACGCATTCAATCCGATTGCATTGCTGCAGGCTTACAGTTTACCAAGGAGTTCAATTGCATTCCGGGTTAGGAACAGATCGAGGATCTTATGAAATAGACCTTAAAATAAATTTGAAATTCTAATTAAATAATATTTTTTGTTAGCTAGAGCTATGTATGTATATTTAAAATTGTTTTTTTTTTGTTTGTTTTTTGTTTCCATTCAATTTTCTTCGTTGCACTACAAAATAATATAAATGTGTATATTTAAGTATAAAGGCCCGTATACAGTTCTCAAGAAATATTTTTCATTATTTCTGTTGCTAGGAAAAGCACTTTGCAGTTGCTGTAAATTTTCTTGAAGAAATAAATATACGAGCATTTTTTGCTTATGATCTGCTACTGATTTAAGAGGTTTTGCTAGAGGAAAATTTTTTTTCGATTTCATGTGCGTAATTTTACATGAATTTTTCGTTTTTCTTTGGAGCTGCGGACAGGCCTTTACCTGAGGCCAAGAACCTCAGCACTTTCATTTCTTGTTATATAAAAATAAGGCACATAATAAGATAACAGATCAAAAATGCACACCAAGTAAATATCCACTGTTTGTTGATAAAGCCGAGATTAAATGAGAGGCTCATACACCTTTGAAAGATTTAAGCCAAAAATTATGGTTCTTTGAAAATTTTTTAACACATACTTGACTATTGCCCGTGGATCGATTGATAAACTCTTTGGCAACTTGCGTCATTATATGCCCCGTCGGACTGGCGATCATATCCTGAGCTGCCTGCAGCCATCCTGTTGGTCGTTCTACTAATTCACTCAAACTATTATTATTACGATCAACTTCGTAGGCGAGAACTGCACATTGAATCTGCGGTAGCGCGATGAACGCAAAAATCACAAGGAACCAAAAATTTCGTAACAACATTGCGCGAAGCAATGAATTCGAAAAATCAAGTTTAAGAAATTTTAACTAAAAACTCCGACTTGCATATGCGTCATGCAACAACGAAACGTGACTAAATTTTGACGACATTGCATGTCTGGTTTTATGTCTTTTCAAGAGCAGAATCAAAGAAGCGCGAAATGCATTTGAAGTTTCCGCATTTAGCTGCGCTAGGCGCGTCGAAGTGTTTGCGCTTGCACAGGTGCCAAATGCAACGTTTGGGATACCTGCGCGCGTGCAGCGATAAATTGTGCTGATTTTGCAGGCATCACTGCGCACGAAAGTGAGTTTTCTAACAAGTTATGAGCAACAAATAAAATACTCGTAGAAAAACTATTTGTGCAGTGCGGCAATTGTATGAATGAAGAAATACAGGCATTAAAGGCCTAATGTTTCAATGCATCAGGTAGTTATGTTATTTGGAGTAAACACATACATATATACAAATATAAGGGCCGGCGAATGCTATAGGCTAATGACATTAGCCTAGTCGATGGCGTTTGTTTAAAGGTAAAAGTATGAATTTACTTACATACATATTTTATTATTCACCCATGTATGTGTGAAGTGCACCAGACAAACATAAGAAATTATGCTTATCAGCACCACGGGCATGCGATACTTTTCTGTATTTTGAGTGATATTTTTACAGCGTGGCATTATGCAAATTTCAAAAAAAAAAATCATTCATAAAATTCCAAATTGAGATCTTTTTGTGTTTCTCAGTAATTTGCTACAGAAATGTTCATGCCCTCAATTACCAAATTATATCAATCAGATCTAGCATTTTATATAATGCGTAATTACCAATTATTTTGTAATTTTCTTGAATGTCATTGATCTGTATGAACTCATATTTTTACAGGCATATAACCAGTTCGAATTACCTTTGATTCAGTTTTACCAATCCAAAGCTTTCCAATATTTCTTTTAACACCATTATGCTGAAGTTCGGTTTTATTTAAGTTCGAAGAATCAAGTGGGGTTTTCACTATGGCAAATATAATGGTATTTATCGACATGTCCGTTTTGGACTTTAATGTGAACGGCCTCGGCAAGGAGTAACAACAGACAAATTTAGAAAAAGTAAGCATGACGACAAATTTTTTTTTTTCATAAACTTTTAAAAACATCCCTCCCTTTCGGGCTTAAGTGTTCTTTCTTTTTAGCTGCATATTTTTGCACGTTTATTTGATACATACCCGCTACGAGTCGAACCTTTAGCTAAAAATATATATTTATATACCTGTCCCTTATAAAGGAATGAAGTGTTTGAGATCGTGTGTCCCCTGAGTGATATAGAAGTGGAAGAAAGGGAAAAGCTTTAAGATATCTGTTCTAGACGGTGTTACCAGATTTCGAGAATGCGGATATTGGTTGTAATGCGTGCATAGTGATAAGACAACAAAAAGAATACCATGAAAATAATATATAAAAGAGAGGTATAAGATGGTGCAGATCAGTGTTGGCATTTTTGGTACAATTGTACTTTTTTGATACAATTTTCACAATATACCTACCTTCCTACTAGGCAAAATTTTTTCGTACAATTTTTTGATTAATACTAAAAACAGATAGCTCTGAAAATTCGCAGTGGCGCAAACAAATTTCGGAATCACCTTTATACATATATTAAAACAAGAGAGTTTGCATGTTTATAACATTTTTTGTAGTAATATTGGAAATATGCTTTATGTTTAACCAGCTGAATTATATGACGTCACTTTATCTGTCGTTAAGTTACTAAAATTTCCTTTGAAATAGTTTTGTTAATATTTTTATTGAAAGGACTTTTAACGGGAGGAAAACATGCATTTTATTAAATTTAAATAAACTAAATTTTTATAAACAAATGATTAAAATTAAAAAATAATAAAATGCATGGTCAAATCTAGATAATATCTGAGTTTCGTAAAGTTATGATAAGCACTATATCGACTGCTGAGTGGAAGATCGCCCTATCTCGGCAGCCAGTTCTAAAACGCCCTATATCAAAAAACTTCTCAAAAACGTCCTATTTCAGAATTTGGTTGAAGTACGCCCTATTTCAGAATTCCTTTCAAAAATGCTCTATCTCAGCTGCTGATTCAAAAACGCCTTATATCAGCACCTTTTAAATATATTTTGAAGTGAGATAGGGCATTTTTGAATCATATTCTGAAATGTGGCGTTCTTCAACCAAATTTTGAGATAGTCTTTTTCAATCAAATTCTGAAACAGGGCGTTCTTGAAAACTTTTTTGAGATAGGGCATTTTCGAGATAGGTCGATCTTCCACTCAGCAGTCGATATGGTCTCAAAATAAATTATTTTGAGTGTGCCCATTCAATTTTAGTATAATGAAGTCCAAGTTTAAAGTAGCTGGGACTACCGTTGATTTTTTGCATTTTTTTCTTGTTGACGATGTCAGTCATTTTCCCTCATAAGTATATTGGACGTTTTTTTTTATGGAGCAAATGAGTAACACTTTTATCAAAAAAAAATAATAATTAAAAAGCCACGGTAAGTCGCAGTTACTTTAAACTTGCATTTTTTAAAATCGAATGGGCCACAAAACCGCATTAAAATACTTCAATGAAATTTTATTAAAAAGCTCGAAAGTTTTGCGAGAGCTAGCTGGTTTTTTAATGATGAAGAAGATCATGCTTGAACTTGTTTTTTGTTTTTTATTGATAACTGAAAAACACATAAAGTGAACTACTAATTCAACGTTCACTACCGCTCTAATCTTTAAATAATTTTGTGCGATTTGAAGTTTAGTTTCGCGCACGAAATAGGATTTTTGGCGTTCCCGTAAAATGTAAAAAACAACGAGGAATCGAAAAATATCGGCGTACATATCGATGCAACGAATCAAAGATAATACTAATGAGACAAACTGAGCAAACGAGTGGCTGACTGAGGGACTTCTGGGACCCCAAATAGAAAACATTTTTTTGTTGAAATTGTAACTTTGATATTTATACTCAATGTTCGGTTTTAGCAGAGCCCCGGCAAGCTACTCACTTCAACTTTATACCACTAACGTTTTTGAAAACAAAACAATTTTTGGCCGACATCAAAAGAAAATAACCCTGTAAGAAAGCGTTTGCAATGTCTCAAAAAATTACAAAAAAAAACCGAAAATTCAAAAACAGGCTTGAAAAAATTAAAAAAAAACCTGAAAAGTCTACATAAGAATAGAAATAAAGAAATGAAATAATACAGAAAAGTGCCGAAAAATCAAAAACTAGCTTTCTAAAAAATCAAGAAACTGTCGAAAAGCTTCGAATAATTCGCAAAGACTTGCAGCAAAGTACGAAAATGCAATTAATCCCATGATGTTGAGCCCAAGAAAAGAAGATTTGCGATTTCATTTTAAAAATGGAATATTTTTATTTATCAACTCATTATTGTATCCATTATATCTCATATGCTCGTAACCAATTATCATATTAACATATAATAATTGCAATAATCATATCCATTGTTGTATGAATGTATATTGTGTTTTCTTTTGTGTTTGTTGCTTGTTTTCATTTGTATTTTGTAATTTGTGTTAAGTATACATGTATTTGTATAATATTTCTTTATGTAGTCACATACAGCACATACATATTAAATAGTACATAATAGTACATATATTATATTATTATAAATACCTCTTTTTTTGGTAGGTTTTTTTTTGTTAGTGTTTCTTAAATATTTGCTAGAAAATCAACTGCTTGGGGAATATCGAAAGATTTGTTGTATGTAGTATGTTTGTGTGTAGTGTAAAAAGAGGGGATGAGTGATCGGCTCAAGCGGCGCGATACTTCAACAATTTGTCGATAACGCAGTTCTGTTATATGGACCTGTATATTTTTGTGTGGGTGTAAGCACGATTATGTATGGTTTTTATGACATACATACATATGTATGATGTATCGGTGTAATAGGATTCATATGATATACGAACGTCTGCATACATATATTTATGACTATACGTTTGTATGTATGTACTTATGTATGATGGGTAAATGCAGTTAATTTAAGAGTAGCTTTCTTGTTTGTTTTACATAATTTTCAATTTTCGTAAGATTTATTCTATGGTTTTTTATTGTGTGCATATGTATTTATGTATATTGTTGTATTTTGCGTTGATTTCTTAGTGCGTTTTTTGCCACGTACATTTTGCCTATAAACATTTTACTGATTAACTAGGTTACTTATGTAAGTATTTAATGCTATATGTATTTTATTTTGTAAATAAGTTTAATTGTGCTAATAACGTTGCTTGCATATTTTTAATAAATATTTTTTTTATAAGTGAGTATGTTTTTTTTTCGCTGGTAATGATGTGTGTTATGATAATGCGTTGTTTCTTAACAATCTGAGAGGACATACATGAGTAATGTGAGTGAGTACCTACATTTGAACATATATATATGTATATATTTTTTATAGGTATGCTGATGTCGCGTATGTATGTAAATATGCCACTTGCAAAGAAGATGGATTTAAGGTTTTTCTTTAAATGTTTTTTTTCTGGAATTTTTTAGTGACTGAATAGCGTGCAAACACATTTGAAAATTGCATTTTTTTAATTTGATTATATTATAATTGATTATTTAAATATTTTGGTAGTAAAATTTTCATAGACATTACCATTTAAAACATGACACATTTGTGGTGAAAATAGTAGGTTCATTCGAAGAAGAAAACATTTAATTAAGTTAAGTTAAGTGATTTAGTAATTGTTTAATTTTTTTTTTTAATTTACATGAAATTCTGCAAATTGCAATAACGTATTTTGTTTGCTTTTGGTTTTTCCTGATTTTGTATATTTACTTACGCATACATAAAATATTTATTCTAAATTTTATTTGGAATACTTAATAATAAATATTTATTTAGTAAAATTTCTGCTATTAGCGTTTAACACAACCTAAAATATGTATTTGTATTTGAGTACATACATGTGTATGTGTACAACAAAGAAGGTTTGCCATTTGCATAACATTAAACAAATTGTTTTTTTTTAATTGTTACTTGTTTTTACTGTTTAGTAATTTTATAATTTTTTACATAAATATATGTATGTAATTATGTAAAACTTTTTGCCTTTGAACATACTCAAAAAAGATAAAGCAAATAAGTAAATCATTGGAGCTTTTAAAAGTATTAAAAAGAAGTAGTGTAGAATTTGTAAAATAAGGTTTTATATATGTATTCATGAAAAGGAATTTAATAAAAAGTTATGACAGTGAAATTTTTGGAAAAGTCAGTTATAGAAAACTTATGAAATTCTAGAGTAATTGGTTTATAAATAAATAGGCTAGTGAAAGTTTTCGGCTACAATGAAAGCTCGTATACGTCGCTGATACACTCGGTTTCATTTTAGGCAAAAAATTGCGCTAGCTTCCTACAACAAGGTATTGAGGAAATCAAAACGGGCTAGCTAGCGAAACCACTGTGAGGAAATAAATAGCCTCCCAGAGGCAGTAGGTCTCCAAAAAGCTCCCACAGGGTATTACAGGAATACAATTCACACTCGAAAGAGATCATATGCGAGCTACACTCAGCATCTGGGCGAGACCTGCAGAATGTTGTTAGATACTCACTTCCCTAATGGCAAGGTTTGCTATACAGATGGATCTAAACTTGAAAATGGTAAAACTGGGGATAGCATATTTGGACCGAACTTAAAAAAATCGATACCAATGGGTAGCTCTACCCCATCATCTTTCAAGCGGAGATTCATGCAATTAAAATGGCTAAGTAGAGGCACGCTACTGGCTTTGAAGTTCCACAAAATGAGTTCTCAGCTAGCATATGATTGCCTCAGTGTACAAATACTCTTGGAGGCAAAAATACAGTTGTATTAGGATAGGTACCGGGGCTTGACTGAAATAATGGCAACCTGGGGCTGAATAGCGAAATAGGGAGATACAGCAGTATTTTATGGCCCGAAACCCTTTTGGGGACTCCCCTAAGCACATATATAGGGTACTTTGAATAAAAATGTTCAACAGTCATTGGATGAAATGTCCAGGACGGATACAAGCCAAACGATTTATATGTCCTTCAATAGAATCTTCATAGAAACTACTCAATCTAGGCATAGAGGACCTCCAAACTCTCACTGGGTACTACAAAAGACACTACTCCATTCGCTATCACCTCAGTAAAATTAATCTCTCAGAAACAAACGTCCGTCGTTTTTGTGAGCTGGACGAAGAAACGCCAGAACACATTCTATGTGAATGTGACGCTCTCGCTAGGCGCAGACTAGCTCACTTGGGTAAGTAGTGCACGTATTTTTGGAACAACAACAAGATGTGATTCTCAATCGAATCTTTTGTTCAGGGTTATCGCCTCTTATGAAAACTCAATCTCCGTTCTTCTTAGTTGGCATTTAGTCAAAATGTCTTTCCCTCTTTTGGTGCATGGGTGGGTTAATTAACAGACCTTTTTCAGAGCACCATTTCTCAGCTAGCTTTAATTTGCCTGCAATCTACATAGAAGCAATGATATATTCGCCGGCAAAGCCACAAGCGTTGAATCCGTTTCCCACTAAGCTCACAACCAGTGTCATTAGTAAGGAAAATTGAGCAACCCCTTCAAACTGATTTTCTAAGGCTTTGATTATAAGAGAGCTAAGGCTAATTGGTCCATACGCCTTTGGAAGCTTTTTTTGAGCTATTCCCCGATTTGGTAGCATAACAGATGATTTATGATGACAAATCATTAACAAAATCAGGAAAAAATCGATGTGTTGTTATTTAAATTAAGCGTCATTCTCTAAGAAATTTATAGCAATTTTCCTAAAAGTATGCAGCATTCAGCTCCTACGAAAACCGGTGCGGGTATTACTGAAATGTCCGTGGAAATCATCAAATTAAATGTGAGAACACTTATTTTGGGGAAGTATTTTAAAAGAAATTAAGTAATTTACACTGCAATGTGAAGGTAGTCTAAGAGTCCATTAAAAGTGGTTAAATATTTGTTTAAAAAAGGAGACCAGCAACAGAAGCAGCTTGATTTCAATTATTAATTTTTTATTTTGTAAAAATTATGATTTTCCCTTAGGGAGCTTTTTGGAGACGTAACTAAGCAAATCAGCATTGTTTTTATTGCTGGTATAGCTTTAACCAAAGTTGTAGTTTTCTGAGTTTTCTGCTTTCCTTTTTACCATAACAGAGGGTAAATACCTATTTTCTTTAACAGTTGAAAGCATTTCTTCGCACCTGCTAACATTTTTCTTTATTTTTTCGTTGTGTGTTAATTAGAAATGCAAATTGTTGACAAATTTTGTTGCTGGTTGGTGGCATCGCATATTGCTGTTGTTCAATTAAATTAAATTTATGTCATCGATTAATTTATGTGTATTAGTATATTTTTTTTTAAATACATACATACATAGACAATTTTAATTTGGAAAAGGCTCAATTTTTTCTTCGACCGAAAATATTTTTGTAAGATTTTATATTTTTTGTAATTTCGTTTTTCTCAAGTTATTTATGTATGTATATTTTTAGTATTTTGCACATCAATTAGTTTACGTTCTTAGTGTTTCTTTGAAAGTGTAGTATTTTTTTTTTATTTATTAATAAATGTATTAATATTATTTACTACCCGTATTTATGCTTTTTGTTTACTTTCTCTTTCTTGTTGTTTTAATATATATTGTCTTGTGTACTTATACGAATAGTCAGCATTTTTTTTTTATATAGCGTCACATGTGTTTAGTGTCTCATGTTGGAATAACAAATTTCAATTTTGTTATTTAGTAATTTCTTAATTTCTTTTTGTTACTTAATATGTTAATTTTTTAGTGAGTTTTTTTATGTTCGATTAATTTGAATATCGCTTGAATTTTCAATTCAGCTCAATAATGCTCAATAAATATCATTATAACATTTGTATTTTTTTTTTTTAATTTTTATTTAATTGTGTCCTCACTTTTCAGCTCATATAAGACTTCAATACAATATATTTAGTAATACAATATTTTTCCAAAAACTTAGCAATAGCAATACACGCGCACATACAATTCTTTATAAATTGCTTTAATAATTATTCTTTCCTAGCATTATTTGCAAATACTTTTAATCGGTTTTATTAATCCTCTTTGCTCCAGTTCTTTATTTTTATGTTTTGCGTTTGCTTTCAGCTTTGTTTTCATCGATTTCTCTTTGTTTTTTTTTTCTTCTTGTTTTGTTGCTTCCCACTTGCTTAGTGTTAGTTTTATTGTATTGTGTTTGTTATTTGTATTTTTTCTTTCTTTTCTAAGTATATTTATGTATATATGTATGTATATGCTTGTTGAGTAGATAGGTGGTAGTTGTACGTGTAATTTGAGTAACTACTTTTAAATATCTAATTGAGATTTTTTACTTATACCTTAACATTTATATGAATTTCGATTTTTTAATGGAGCTTTCGCACACTTTTATGGGTGAACAAAGCAAAAACTTAGCCGCTTAGAAAGTTTTGACAGTGGCGGGCATAGAAACTTTTTTGGCGAATAGTAAAGTAGCGGATGAAAATCTGAATGTTTATGCTAAGAAATACGCCTAAAAATATGTAAATTAGGGTGACCCTTAAACATAGCGTTGTAGGTCTACGTTTTGTGCATGGTCACTCAAAAATCTATTGTAATTTTATAGATTTTTTTGCACTCTTTTATAGCAAAGTAATTTGGTTAAATCATCTCCTTTTTGTTGTCATTATTTAGGAAACTGTTTGCAATATTCGCTTAAAGTTTGTCTATGAAGGCAATAATGCTTCCAAATATGTCCGCCACTGTATTTTACGGACTTGGAATACTAACGTGGTACCTAATGTTGGATTTCCACTGAGCATTAAATGACAAACATTTTATTGCCAAATTTTGGCATTAAAAATACCTGTCAGTTTCAGTGGGAAATTCTTTAACTGAGACAAGTTCTTTACCATTCCAATGCCTACTGGAAATTCAATACAAGTTGTTCAGTTTTGTGTGTCTTATTCAAATAAAAAATAAAAAAATAAAAATTGTTATTATAATCAGACCTACTTGAAAAAAAAAACAATTATAAATACCAAGCACTTAATAAAAAAAAAAAAACAACGACCAAGTATTAAAAAACTTACAAAAGAACGATTTTTGAATATAAAAAAAAAATAATGAATTAAAGATCTATCTATTTTCTATTCAAAATATTTTGTTTGCTGTCGCATAATCAAAATGTAATACACTAATCAAAATCGAATGCATTTATTGAACTTTGTACTTTGGATACTTAATTAATATTTAAAAATCATAAGACCGCTATTGATTGGAATTATTGAAATCAGGTATTAAGAATCAAATTTTTGGCATAATGAAATATATGTAGTACATTTAGAGAAATCAAAAGTAAAATGAATTAAAAATCAATATCAAATAACTGTGCGATTATACAAAAAAAAAATTAAATAAAAAAATAAATAAAAAAAAATTATGTAAATAAAAAGTTGACAATAGAAATAAGCTGTGTAGTTTAGCTTGCTAGGAATGCGTTTATAATTGTTTTCCACTATGAAACCAGGAAACTTCAGAGGCGAAGAATGCGCTTGTGTATGTAGTGATTTAGTTTCAATATTTTTTTTTTCTAATTATGTACTTAAATTTTTGCGTATTTTTTCAATGAGAATCTGTGTTTAAAAGCATGTGTGCACAGGTATGAATGTACTTACTTACATGCGCATTTACATATGCATTTGCTTGCAAATGTATGTATGTTTGGAAATATTTACAAAAAATTTAATACTGCCATCGGCAAGTAAATAGTTTTGTCTCAATAAAATCTTCCTCATTGCACAGTTATACATACTCACATGCATATGTACATGTGCACACACGCATTTAAGCAAACACAAAAATCTAACTAACTTTCATCGTTTTGTCAACATTCATTATCCTTGCCTACTTCAAATCCAATTCATCATCCTCTTCGACAGTTGGCTTACTCCAGCGATTTGTATTGCCATACGAGTTAATGCTACTGATGCTGCCCGTTTTCGGTGAGTCACTAAAATCGCTGAATGCGGCATTTTGTATACCCTCGTAGGCGCGATACGAATTATTGCTGCCATTGCCATCGTTGCTCCGCTCCGAGGTGACGCTCATGCTCTTCGAACTGCCAAAGCGATCGGTCTTATAGTTGGTCGGTGGTCCGCCAAATATGAAATCGGCATCGGAGATTGAACCGCCGGCGCGAGTATATTTGCCATTGCCATAGCTGGGCTTAGAATCGCCGAAGATTATGTCCAAATCAGATTGTTTATTGGAAGCTGTAAGCATTGAAGTAATATTTTAATTTCTGATAAAAATTTTCTTATAAGAAATACATACATATGTTTGTATGTATATATATAAAATATTTTATTTAGCTTATGCGGTGCGTCTAATACGAATATACTATTTATGAAAATTTTTAAATTTTAAATGCATTGGCGCCAATTCGTAATTCAATGCAACAGATATTGAGTGATATGCTTGTGATGATGATGATGAGTTATCAAAATATTGTGATTGATTTTTCATGTGTGATCGGAAGTTATTTATTTATACTCGTATCAATGCAATTAAATAATTCGATTAATGATGTGAATGAAGTCGTTTAATGATTTGATTAAATGAATGTTATTCTAAGAGTAATACTTCGATTTCAGATTCATTTTGTAAAAACCAACTACGAGTACTTCATCAATACTTTTTTTTTTTTTTTAAGTATGTCGCTATCTATAATAAAATTCTTAAAATATCAGTTTGGTGCACATGAGCCTATGGAAATTCCAAAGGAATGAGAGCAAGCTTAAGCTTAGTATAGAGCTGTAAAGAAAACTCTGCAGAAATATTTTTCATTATTTCGTTTATTTGAAAAAGTACTTTGCCTTTGCTGTAAATTTTCATGAAGAGAGCCGTAAACTGTTAGAACTATTTTCCATCATAAATATTTTTCGTTAATTTTTGTTTAAAATATAGCTCTTTCTATTTATAAGAAGAATCATTTAAATCCATCTTGCAATTTTTAAATAAAATTCACAAATATTAATCAAACTTCAAAAAATTATTATCAAAATTTCAAGCTTTTTTATCAGAATTTTTAGAACAAAATCTAATTCTATGTGTAAGAAAATGTGCAACGCCTTTGACAAAAAAAAAAAAACATTCTAAAAAATCAACGGTAATTTTAAGCTACTGGAAACTTGCATTTTATTTTACTGAAATTTTTGGTCCTACAAAACTGCATACCGGAACCTTTTCTCAAAATAAAAAGTTTAAAATTGTGATAACAATTTTTTGAAGTTTGATTAATTTTTGGGAATTTTGTACAAAGTTTCGCAATATTGATTTATATGGTTTTTGGTTTAGGAAATGTCGCGTTTAATGTAAAATGTGGCACCTTGCGTAGTTGTTGCATACGTTGTTGCGTTATGACTGTATTCAAACACCATTCACACATTCCATTATTTGGCGCATTTCGATTTCTCCTTCTTGTGTTCTGCATTGCACAGTTTGTCATGTGGTACAAGCTAGGAGGCCAAAGCCGTAATACGAAAGCTAAAACTGAAAGCCCTGAAAAGCGCAGAACGTCTGAAAACCTTGGTGGGTGGTCTTGGGTGGTGTAAACCAATCTCTACATTCACATTCGGTATACTAGAAATCTTTGTCCGCAGGCAAGCTGATGCCCATCACCACTTTACATTTTTCATGAGGACGTTCGGAACGAGCTTTTACGTTTTGATCACTAGCATTTTACATACATATACCGTTTTCGATTATTCTTTTTTGTCTATGGTAATCCAAAATTTTTGTATTTTTGGTTTACAAATTATTTGTTAGCTATACAAATAGACCTATGTAGCTTACAAATTATTGCAATCTATATTTTGTCCAAAGGTTTACTGCTTTTAAGCTTTGACTCAAAAATTGAAGCTTCATTATTGTAATTTAACACATCCTTAATTTCTGGTGTCATTTGTTTAGTAATTACCACTTATTTGATAACGCATCGCCATATTCACAAAAAAAAAATTATATCACACATATTGAATTATTGTTTTGAGGCTTCAAATTTGCCAATTACAATAAGAAAGCGAATAATAGTAAGTGTTAATAATATGTAGACAAAAAGACAAATAAGCCAACAATCAGTACGACTGAATTGCATATATGTAGAATAGAGTACGAAGCCTTTAAGTTTGCTCATTCTTAATATATATATATTTTTATTTATTTTTTTTCAAAAGCAACAGAAGACAGAAGAGCGCGATGCTGTTAAAGTAACTAAAATGTGTAATAAATCGTGGATTAAGAGTGTGAAGGTGCCACGTGTAGAGTGCCCAAAGCCAAAGAAAATATTAATTGCGGTGTTCAAGTTCTAAACGATATTGTAGCTGTAGTACTTCAAGTGTTGCGATTAGTGATGGCCATCTGCTAATTTCGAGCTGCTTGGACGAATTCACTTTGCTTAAATAGCATACAAATACATAGTTTACTGTAGATATTAATTAATTATGTATAAGTATGTAGTATAGTTAAAATTAGACACATTTATCGATTAAAGTGGATGCAAAAAATTTCGATTACTGTTAATAAAAATAAAAAAAAATAAAATAATACATTTATGTAAGTATGTATTTGTAAATACATTGCATTTTGCATTTTTGTGAGTTGAGTTTGCCTAGTTGCAGAGCTGCATTTGTCCAGACAGAAAAGAAAAACTTACGAAACATTGGCTTTGTTGCTTTGCGGCGGCATGCTTCAGTGCGGCATGACGACGATCGAGAACAACAACCACACAACAACAAACGTACGCAATTGTAGTATGAAGCGTTTATATGTACGTTAGAGTAGGACGGAAAAGCAATTTGGGGCGTGGTGGCGTAGGCGTTTTGACGTTGATTAGAATAGAGTAGAGTAGAAATATTTTTTTTTTTTTTTTTTTGTTGCTTGTATTTTATCGAATCGTATAGACTAGGACGATAACTGTTTTTATATGTGTGAGCATGAACATGAGGAAAGGACTCGAGGATGGCACATGAATTTAGAATTATTTTTGGGTTGGTTTCTTTTAAGTATGTATGGATGTATGTATGTATAAGGAGAGCATGGTTTTATGAGATATATGGATATAAATGAGCGTGGTTATTAGTTAGTGTAAATAGTAGTTGGTGTGCTTGTTGGTAGAAAAGTATGAATATAGTAATATATGAAAGTTTTGGCTACTTCTTATAGTTTCATATTGTATGTAGTATTTTTTGTGTTAGAAGAGTTTTGTTAAGTGTTGGTTTATATCAATATTTCCGTAATATGGATATGAAAATACGTTATTTGGCCAGAGAAAATGTATGTGTTTGCACTTCTGGCTGCTTTTCCCCCATTATGGCATGTATGCTGTGTAAAAATACCAGTGAATGTAGGCTAGTTTTAGGCGCATAAGTAGTAAACTTTGGCTTACGATAACCTTTGTTTTCAGTCCATAAGTTTTGTATTGCGTCTTCAAGCACTTTCCCTAATCTGTGAATTCCACTTTGTTCTATTATTGAAATATTATTGTTCGAATGCGGTCTTTTCAATTCCTGCTGGTCAGTACTATTCATGTTTTTTTCGCGTGAAAAAATATGCTCTCTTCTAAATAGTTAATGAATAAGTATGATAAATATGATATGAATTTGCTTGTTTAGTAGTGATGCCTTTTTAATTGATGAAAATTCACTAAATGTTTTTTTTTTTGTGCGTTGATATGACATGGTAGTTGTTAGATATGTATGTATGTATGTATGTTTGTAGGTTTTTGTGAGTGATATATTTTCAATGAGCAGTTATGAAAGATATTGGCACTGCATCGTCTATTCCATATCGCTTAAGTTTTTCGCAGCGTTAAACTAACGAGTAATACGCCCACGGCCAGATAATTACCATTGCTCTCGGAGCGCGAATACGATGGTCGTGTGTACGATGGCAAATCGGCTGTGGTGTTGTAAGCATTCGAGGCAGGGCTCGAGTTTGATGCATAGCCAGAGGTATCTCCAGCTGCAGGCATGGTGGAGCTCACAGCTGCTGGTGCGCTGTAGACGCTCGCTGAACGTATGCCTATTTTCGATTTCCAATCTAGGCCATCGCCTGCGGAAGAGACATCAGCGCCACCAGTGGCGCCACCACCAATGGCATTATCAATTGCATCTGTGCCTATTGGACCACCAGCAGTAGTAGCATCACTGCTTGGTCCGATTGTAGTGGTGGTTGTGGTGTTGGTATCCATGCGTGTAATTGTCTCAATAGATGTTGAGCTGCCATAGTTGAAGGTGCGTTTGTCTTTGCCAACACTTGGTGGTGTGGTCGAAGTTGAGCTGCGATAGTTGACTGCACCGGCTACGCCTGTCGGTGGTGGTGGTGGCGGTCCAGTGGGTGGTGGAGGCGACTTAATGCCGACATTTCCATTGCGATTGATGCGCGATGAAATCGATGATGAGGAAATCGATGAAGATGAAGTGGTCGAAGTGGCACTACCAATGGTCTGATTGGTTGCAGAAGTTTTCAAAGTGCCCTTATCGAATGGGTTAACACGTTCTTGTGGTTCGAAATTGGTGACTGGCTTGTATTTGTTCTCCTCTTGGAATGTGTCCAAAACGCTGGAAGATGGCTTGCTGCTGTAGCTTGCGGCTGAGCTGGCGCTGACGCTCATGCTACCCGCCGTCAGGGTCGAGGTCGATGAAGTGTCGGAGCGCGCATCGTAGGGTTTCTCTGCCGGCGGTGGCGGTTGTGGTGTTGGCTGCGCCGAGATGATATCCGACGTAACACTCGATGTGCTGCCGCTGGCCGATCTGCCGCCGCCACTAGCAAACGAGAATTGCTTGCCGAGGAATGAACCGGTACTTATGCCGCTTATTCCACTGCCACCAGCACTGGGAGGGCCGCCACTGCTCGTCTCGCTTGCTGTCCTTCCGCGTTTCTTATTCGCTAATTCCTACATGTCACCAAATATCCCCGCAAAGGTCTTACGCAAATTCTTCATGGTGTCCTCTGCATCCTCGACGACTGAATTTTGAGTTTGCGGTGGACGTGAGGAGGCCCTTGAGGCTGATGACATGCTCGATGCCTGTGAAGTTTGCGAGTCGCGACGCACTGCACCGCCGACGCTGCTGGGTACGCTGGTCGGTGCCGGTGCAGCTGGCTCCTCAGGTACCTCAGAAATGCTGCTGCGGCTGCTGAGGCGCCCAATCGAACCGACTGCTGGTGAAGTGCGCTCCGGTATTGGGGGTGGACCGCCCATCGGAGCAGGTCGTGGGCCGGCTGGTGCCGGCGGTGTGGGGGCCATATCCTCGGTGGGACTCTCACCGCGCGAGGAGATCGACGATCGTGATGGCTGTCGGATGCCATGCATCGGAGGGCCCGTTTGAGCCATGCTAGGCCGGCAGACGTTCTGGGAAGTGATTTAGAGAGAGAGAGAGAGAGGCACAAAATGGGAGTGAAAAATGAAGGTATGTATAATATTTTCCACGTATAAAAATTATATCAAATTATATATTCTACGTTAAAAATTATATAAAAAAGTTAGAGTGCGTTTTTCTGCACTTAACAAATAGTACTCACCTGCATTCTAGCCGAAACTAAATCGGCTATCTGACGGCGATCCTCTTCTTGACTATCACCAATCAAGGCGAATGTACAATCGCATGCGCTAATTATATGCTCGCGTCCATCTTTGCCGACTACCACTGAAATGCCGCATACTTCCATGCCGCCAAAAAGTTCAGAGATCTGCGAATAAGCAAAGAATTAATGAATTGAATCTATAGATGCCCTTATTGCGATACAAATATACGGGGCCTTAATGGCACAAATGTGTTCTCAATTTACAAAGTTGCCCCATTTCTGTTGCGCATTAATCAAATCCTAATTGTGTAGTGCGGTCGGCTAAAGACCTATTCTAATCACAACAAATGCTAGAGTCGTAGATATGTAAATATGTTAACAATTAATATTCTGAGTGCTTATAATGATTAGCAGCAGTTTACATTCGCTTGAATGCGGTTAGCCGTTCAAGCCGTTCGTGGCGTCAATGCTGACAAACAAATGCTGCTTGCGGTTTGCTAAATCATAATTCAAAATATGTACAACTTGATTGTTGTTGATATGTGGCTACACCCAGCAAGTTAGTTATGTAAGTGAATGAGCTATTCGGAAGCAATTGCAGTGGTATCCATGTTCACTGTGAGATTACTTACAAATGAGTTGCTATTTTAGATGTTGGTGTAATATAAAATACGCCGCTGATAAATGTGGAAGGCTAAGTACGTTTATTAAGTTATGTATGCACATTAGGGCGTGTAAACTTTTATAGGAGATTTTTTCGTCTATGCGCGTATAGCATACGTGTAATTCTAAACAAATTCGACAAAGAAACCATGGGTCTAAATCAATTTGGAGTTTGCTAAATTGCGAAAATAGGTTTCTTTTACTTAGCATTTAGCTGTGGTGTCGTAAAGAAGTGCTTAAATTTTGGTATACNTGCTGCTTGTGGTTTGCTAAATCATAATTCAAAATCTGTACAACTTGATTGTTGTTGATATGTGGCTACACCCAGCAAGTTATTTATGTAAGTGAATGAGCCATTCGGAAGCAATTGCAGTGGTATCCATGTTCACTGTGAGATTACTTACAAATGAGTTGTTATTTTAGATGTTGGTGTAATATAAAATACGCCGCTGGTAAATGTGGAAGGCTAAGTACGTTTATTATGTTATGTATGCACATTAGGGCTGGCCAATTTTAATGGGAAAAAGGGACAAATAAAATGTGACAAAGAACCCATGGGTCTAAATCAATTTGGAGTTTGCTAAATTGCGAAAATAGGTTTCTTTTGCTTAGCATTTAGCTGTGGTGTCGTAAAGAAGTGCTTAAATTTTGGTATGCGGACTCCATTTCTGGATTTTTATATTTTTCTTATCATTTCCATCAGTGGGCGCAAAAGTGAAAATTTTCACATATTCTTCGAAACTTATTTTCGCAATTTGATAAACTCCAAATTCATTTTAAATCCATTGTTTCTTCGGCAAATTTGCTTAGAATTTCAAGTAGATTCCTTCCATGCTTTACGCGCATAGTCAGGCCCGTAGAGAGAGAGGGGGAAAAGGGAGGAATCCCCCCGGGCCCTGGATTTTTAAGGCGCCTGAAATATGAGAACCATAACTTGTTACTATTTTTTTACAATATAATTGCTCCATCCTTATAGGCTTTTATCATAATTATAAATACTAGTGTTCGCCCAGCGGTTGAAATTCAACCGCTAAAATTAAGGATAGTTTATGTGAGTTGAGTTGAGCTGAAATAAAATTTGTTGGAATGGGTTAAGTGGAGGGGAGTTTAGCTTAGTACTTAGCATAACATAACATAGAATAGCATTAGATTCAATAACATAACATATGTAGCATAACACATCACAATATAACATCGCACATTCTTCAGTTGTATTTCCTTTTTATCCCTATCACTTTCTTCCTCTCTATCTTTGTCTCTATCGCTTTTAATGTTTATGTTTATACGGTTTACTCAAAGATTGAGCTGGACGAAGTTTTTCGCGTTAGTCCAATGATAATGTTGCCCGAGAACTTTAAGATGTATGTGATGGTTAGAAGTTACTAAGTAAAATTGTAGAGAATAAGGTTTTATGAGTTAAAAATTCAAACGAAGAAATACTCACTGATAAAACTGGTTTACATTTTTTTTTATTTTTCTTGGACAATAAATATTTCTAAAATAAATGTCTGTTTTGCCTTTAGCAAAATAAAAATGGTATTAGAAAAAATTTTACCAATTTTTATTAGCACGCACAAAATGGAGGACGAAAGCAAGGATCTTTTCAGCATCAGTAGCCCAAAACTGCGTAAAAAGGCTCATCATTTTGTTTCAAAGTTAAAGCATAGACAGATGACAACGTTAATCCGGATTAACGGCGTAGTTGATTTGGTCAAAGTTGTGCCTTGACCAACGGCAGTAAAGATATATTAACGAGCCGTAAGATTGTGGGTTTGACTCACACGGCCAGTCATTAAAAATTTTGAATTCATTAAAATATCACTTACTTTTTTAATGTTGTGAAATTTTTTTAATAAAATTAAACTCTTAAAATTAAATGCCTTATCAAAAATAAAACTTTTTCCAATTTCAAGTGGGTGTAAGTTGAAAAGTACAAAAAAAAACTTACCAAAACTCAGTTAATTGTTTCTCCTTTTAGCTATAAAGCCCGAACCCTAAAAATTTTCTGTCGGTTATCAGTGTTATTGATTAATTGTTGTCGTTTGCTCAAACAATTGTCGTAATTTTAATGCCTAGTAAAAATTCACATAAAATCAATTAGCTGTGTTTAATTCTATTCAATTATCATTTGTATTTGATAAATTTTGACTTTGATAAATTTGGCTCTATTACCACTAACACCACACTTTCACTTTGCATTGTTGTTAATTTTGATTTTTTGCAGTATATTCCTACATGCATTATTTCATATATACTTAGCTTTAGCAATAGATTCGAATTAATGTTGCATGTTCATGACGATGTCGACATTAGTATTTAATGTATTTTGCATGTAAATTACGTACATACATACATGCATACATAATATAGTCGCCAGGCCATGCCAAATCAATTTACATAGCCAACGGCAATAAAATCTAAAATGTTAATGCCAAATAGTGATGTGAGTCATTTGTTAGATATTTCCATTTAATAAATTCTAAATATTATAAGCGAATCAATACAGAAATGGATACAAGTATGTAGTATGTAGTAGAATAAGGAATTGGATTAGGCGAAGTGCCAAAGCACGAGCATGTTGTACGCGGTCATATTCGCAAACTAGTGTGTGTTTGTTTTGCCGCATTTGAAAATGCCTTTTACCTACTTGTATTACTTATCTATTAGGGTGCATCATTCTTCATATAAAAAACAGAAAAAAAAAAAATTTGTTACGGATTATCCATCGGCATTAAAAAATGTATTATATATTAAGACTTCCGCCAATATATTTCGGAAAAATATTTTGATTTTCGTGAGCTGGCCAGTTTTAATTTTTTTTTTTTAGATCAAATTAGTTTTTGAAAATATTTTTTCCAAAAAATTGTCTCAGACGATAGAAGGTACAGTGAATTTTTTACAATACCGGCAACTATTTTTTAAATATGTTATTTTTTGGCAAATTTTTTATAAAAATATAGTTAATTCTACAACAAAAACCCCAAAAAACAGAGTTCTAAATCTTATGCAAAATGAAAGAAAATTCTGCAAATTTCCATCCAAATATTGCACTTTTTATTTACGCTCTTTAAATAATGTTCGATAATATTATATAATAATGGGAAAAATATGCGGCACCTTTAACGAAAAAAAATCCCTAAAATCAATGGTAAGTCCTAGCTTCCTCATACTTGCACTGCATTATACTAAAATTGAATGGGCTAAAACACTGCATACTCAGATTTTTGTCTAGAGAGCGTAAATAAAAAGTGCAATATTTGAATAAAATTTTTCGGAATTTTCTGTAATTTTGCACAAGGTTTGGAACTCGGATTTTTAGGGTTTTGTTGTAGAATTAACCAAATTTTTATAAAAAATTAGCGAAAAATAAATTATTAAAAAAAAAAAATTGCCCGTAGTGCAAAAAATTCGCTGTATCTAAACTTTATTGACTGACTGTATGCACAAAAATTTTTAACAAAGTCTTAAAATATAATAAATATTATAATTCTATTGGAAAAACAGCAACTTTTTTGGCGGGACACCCTAATGTATATACATACATACTTGAAATATATGCTAATATCTAGCTGCATTGGGTGTGTAGTGTGTTAGTTAGATTACGTGCGAATGCCTTAATTTTGGCTGTATGTATGCGTGTACTTGCATATTGCACTTGACTGCAACCGACAAAGGTTAGTCATAAATTTGAAAATTTTACTTAGCCAATTTTGTTTACTTGAACACCTTGATATTAATGGATCGAAAAAGTACAATTATCGTATTTAAATTTCTGCAAGAATTTTTATTACTTGCATGTGGATTTTTATTAGCAATCTCCAATTTTGAGTGCTTTTGATTTAACTACATAAGTACCTATA